CCCTCTCCCTCCTCCCACCCTTCTCCCCCTCCCCCCACTCCTTTCCCCCTCCCCCCACTCCTCTTCCCCTCCCTTTCCAATCCAAAGAGCAGTCAGGGTTCCCTGCCCTGTGGAAAGTCCAAGGTCCTCCCCCCTCCGTCCATGTCTAGGAAGGAGAACATCCAAACTGGCTAGGCTCCCACCAAGCCGGAACATGAAGTAGGATCAAAACCCCGTACCATGATGAGAAGCCAAGGACTATATCAATTCTTAAGAGTGCCCAAAGGCAAGGAGCTAGGCAGGGGGGGACCCAGGAACACCAGGGCAGTATTGGAACAGGGGAGGACCTCCAGGACAGAAGGAGGGGCTAACAGAACATGGGGAGGAGCACCAGGATGAAAGGAGGGACTATCAGGACATGGGAGGAGTTAGCAGGACGGAAGGAGGGATTAATAGGACATGGGAGGAGCTAGCCGGACAGAAGGAGGGGCTATCAGGACATTGGGGGGAGCTAGCCGGACAGAAGGAGGGGCTATCAAGACATTGGGGGGAGCTAGCCGGACAGAAGGAGGGGCTATCAGGACATTGAGGGGAGCTAGCCGGACAGAAGGAGACTGATAGTTTAGGGTCAACATTTTGAAAACCAAACTCAGAAGAAATACAATAAAGAGGCAATTAAGACATGGCAACTAATTAATTAGTAACTATTGTTGCTCTGCTAGTGATTGACTCATGGCTTCTCTGTTACTGAGCTAATAGTCACTTCAATTTCTATTGTTACTTTTTTTTCTTTTTGGTTTTTCGAGACAGGGTGTCTCTGTAGCTTTGGAGCCTGTCCTGGAACTAGCTCTTACAGACCAGGCTGGTCTTGAACTCACAGAGATTCGCCTGCCTCTGCCTCCCAAGTGTGGGGATTAAAGGCGTGTACCACCACTGCCCAGCCTGTTGTTTCTTTTTAAGTGGCCATTTTAACAATGAGTCAAACTGTATTTGTGTATACATGTGATTTTCATAATGGTCTTTGTACTCAGAAACTGAAGCCAGGTGTTTATTTTTAAGTGAGACCTGCCTTAAAACTTTTGCAGATAGGAATAGAGGTATGGCCCTGCAGTTAAGAGCACTAGCTGCTCTTGTAGAGGACCCACGCTCACAACCATCAATAACTCCAGCTCTTAGGGTTCTGCTGCCCTCTCTGCAGGCATCAGGCACACACATGGTGCACATACATACATGCAGGAAAAACACTCAAGGCACATATGAAAAAAACTAGGCACACATATGATGCATATACACACATGCAAGAAAAACCTAATCTAACCCTAATCCTTTAAACAATTTTTATGTGATCTCAGACACAGAAGCTCGTCAAGGCACCCCTTGTGTCACGCTAACACTTTATTCTTTTATTTGATTCCCTTTTCCCTTTCTGTGGATACTTTCATTATACTTTTAAGCCACTTAAGAACAAGCTGCAGTATATCTCTTTATCTTAAGATCCTTCAATGTGATTCCCTAAAATCATGCAATAAAAATGTTTCCTAAAATTAGAGCTAACATCCATAATTCAATTGACTGAATATTGTGCCATAACTGAACCTTCCAAATGCCACATGTCCCATATGCTAGACAAAACACAAAACACAGTCCAGACATTAGCAACCATGGAAAACTTTCTTCTATTTGTTTTCAGATTCATTGATTTTAATTAATCTAAATCATCGATCTTACAGCTACTGCCATGAGTTCTTTTGAGGAATTCTAAACGGTCCCTCTGCATCCATGAGTCTTTTGCCATTTCTAAAAAGCGTTCATGGGTCAATCGAGGCTGTGGCCTGGGTGGCCAGTGGGATGAGTAATGCATGGCCACAGGACCATGGACAATAATTAAAATATCAGTAGACTCAGTTGCAGCCACTAAACTGACAGAAAACATCAGCTGACATCTTAGGAGTTTAGAAACAGGAATCTACTTAGTACATGCGGCTCAAGACTTCAGCTTCAAAAAACTGGACTTATTTTCATAATCAACATATGAATTTTGGAATAAAATCAGCCAATAAGTTTTTCTCAAAGTTGTTACAGTTGAAATTACAGTATGTGTTTTCAGGAACCAGTAGCTCTCCTTGCCTCCTGACCACACTGCTGCTGCTCACTGACGTAGTTACCCAATGGAGGTAGGGAGGCTTCTGCTGATGGGGAATGACCTTGTTTGCCATTAGATCCCTGTCTGATGAGGCAACTCTTGTCAGCTACAGTGGAACCCAATTGTTCCCTTTTACAGGTAGTTTTGATCACAGTCCTAGACGTTAAGTACAGTTTTGTCTCAGATGAAACTGAGTTGTCTGTCCTGTACAAAGACTCCTAATAGCTTAAAGGAACATTTCATCTCATGCTGGAGCACACAGCCATCCAGAGGTGAATTCTCTACAGCACAGTCCTGTCATGAACACATCTAGTCATCTGCTTTCCCGAACACTCAGAGTGTGAGCTTGCGCGAGGGCCACTTCCTTCTATGGCAGTGGTAACCATGATAGCCAGCCCTGCTTCCCACAGTGTCAGGCTCTTGTACTCAGCTCTGTTCTCAAAGCATGGGCATAGTCTCTCAGTGTGGCATACTGGTCACCTCTTGCTGTTCCCGAGCTATAAATTAAATGTGATCATATGTATACATGCACAGTGAAGAAAGGCACACACGGGGTCAGCCCTGTCCCAGTTTCAGATGCTGACCGTGAGTCCTGGGGCACGTTTCCCCCCCGATGGGGCGCTGGTGCTATAATGCTCGCCACTCTTCATATAAAATTTTATCTATGTCCTTGTAAGTGGAGCATGTATTTCACCGGCAGTTGTACTGAGAGACTGAAACATGCTCTGCCACAGGCCAAGCCGTGGAACTCTTCCAAGTGCCCATCCTCAGGAGAGTCTGTCTGGGCATATCGTCTGCTGAGCTTCCAGGTTGTTCGTGTGCCTTTGAAACTGGATTTAGTTCCTATTAAAAGAAGATATCTTCTGATCTAATTTCTTTTACACTTTTTTCCCTTTCAGAGCAGAGGGGAGGGGGAACCCCATAAAAACCTGTCCTTTCCTCAGCCAGCTTTTTCTAAAGGAAGAGCTCCACTACTCTGTTTGGATACAGATACTTGGATCCAAGTGATCATTCCTTATACTGCAGTTGCTGTTGGGAAGTAATGAGCAGGCAATGCTTACATCCTGTCAGAGGCAAAAGCAGAGGGAGCCAGTTTAGAGCAGGCGCAAGAAGCCAATGCAAGTGCACCTGTTGCCAATGGGAAGTGTAACCCAGGAAAGATAACTGAAAGCCGCTCAGATGGCTCGGTGGGTCATAGTTCAATCCCCAGGACCCACATGGTGGCAGGAAAGAGCACAATTCACTTTGATTCCCAAATGTACTCTTTGGAACATACATACCAATACACACTTAGACAAATGAATAAGTGTAATAAAATATTTTAAAACTTCAAAAGATAACGGATAGGGTGTCCATCAGTTCTGTTGCCTACATGAAAAGCCAGACCAGTGATGTCTTTAGTCCTAGCACTTGGGAGGCAAAGGCAGGTGGATCTCTATGAGTTCAAGGACAGCCAGGGTTATATAGTGAGACAAACAAATAAATGAAGCTGCAAAACTATTGAGCATAAATCCCTATCCTGTCTGTCAGGAAGAAGCAGCTTAAGTGAGCAGCCCTTGGGGAGGGGGAGGGACTGATGGAGAAGGATGGGCACCTAGGAGACCAGCTGCCTTTAGAATTAGTTTGAATGTTTTAAAACAACATTTTAATTTTATAATTTTTAATTAAATTTTTTATATAACACATTTTAAACATTTCCCCTCCCCCAGCTCTTCCCTGATCTTCCCCACTTCCCTACCCACCCGACTTTATGTTCTTTCTCTCTTTTCTAAAGCATGTGAATATTTTACCTGCATGTATGTATTGCACCATGCTGATGCCTGATGCCTACATAGGTCAGAAAAGGGTGCTGGAGCTCCAGGAACTGGAGCTATAGACAGTTGTGAATCACCAAACCCAGGTCCTCTGCCAGGACAAGTGCTTTGGCTATTGTTGAGCCAGCTCTCTAGCTCCCTAACAGACAGAGTTTTCCCTGTCCCCAGGTTCCCCCTCACCAGCACTGGGATTTTAGGCTTCGGCCACCAGGCCTGGATCATGCAGTGCTGGGGATCAAAGCCATTTCCTGCATGCTAGGCAAACACTCTGCCAACTGAGCTATTCCCAGCCCTTTAGGAAGGCTAAAGGTCAACAGTATGGACTCTGTGCTCTCTCTCCTCTTCACTCAGCCTCCAGAAGCCACTGGTGAGAAGGATAAACCCCAGAAGGATAGGAGATGTGCAAAGTTCAGGAAACTCTCTAAAGTGAAGCTGTGCTTGGAGAGGGGAGGAAGGGACGTGGAAGAGACCACAGGCTGAAGGCAAGTGAGAATCCATCAGCACAAGTGTCATGGGGAGTTGTGCCCAGGCAGTGTCAAGCCCCTTAAAGGAACTCTTACCTTTAGGGAGTGCAGCTAAACACTTGGTATCAAGGCCTCTCCTGTGGTTGGCAGGCTCTTCTTTATCGTCAAAGCAAAACTCTTTCTGAAAGCTGAAATTTATCCCATTAATATAACATTAAATCAAGATGTAGAATACTGAGTGGAAACACTAAGCATAAAAACAAAACTAAGTATGTGTTTTATACTGGTGACTTTTTCATTTAGTTATATTTATGTTAACATAAAAATTTGTGTATATATGTTCAACTATGTAATTACATTGGCATCACTGGTGTGTGTGTGGTGGAAAAAAGACAGCCAGACCTCTATTCAGACTGGCAACAGCCTCTTGATCCCAGAACAGCTGAGTATGGAGGCGTACACACCCACCCTTCCTGGGCTACCATGTCTTCCTCAGAAGGCCAGCAGCTTGTTGAGGAAGTCTGGATTCTTTTTCCAGTGGTAAATTATGTTAATGTTGCATATGCCTTCAAACCACTAAGCAGCAGCATGGCCAAAAGGCAGGAAATTCCCATGAAAACTTGTCATAAATACAAGAGGAAGTGAAAGGGGTGTGACCTAGCTCTTCCCTGAAATACTGACCCCAGCTACGATTCTCCTATCTTCACAAGACTCCACGTCCTCAAACTTGGAGGCGTCTAAATGCCTGGTCCCTGGCCTGCATGCTTTGCAGTTGTTGCTGTGGTTTGAATATTTCCACCAGGGCTGACTTCTTGCTAATCACCAAAAGGTAAATGAGGAGACAAGGAAGGTGAAACCCTGCTGCCTCATAATGTGGGCTTTCTTTGCCGGTGTCTGGCAGCCTGTATTTCTTGCACGCATGCAGACCGTGTACCACTAGCACATCTGACATTTGGTGCACTGCCAGTCAGGCTACTGCAGTCAGCTCACATGAAGTAACAGCAGTGGCTCATAACTCCAGTGTCCCACTGAGTCAAGGTCACCAAAGTGTTTGACTTCCAGTTTATACTTTTCCTATCCTTGAATAAACCCTCCTCTCTCCTTGCCCTTATCTTTCCTTATTTGTTAGTTTCATTACATTTAAGATAATCTGCTAGGGAAAGGTTAGGGAATAAGCCCGAGGTGCCATTAAAACATGCCACACACATGAACCATGGGTGACTCAAATAATACATTTGTGCTCTTGTTAACCACTATCCCGAATCACAGTTCTAATTCACTGTATAATTAGATGTGCATGGAATATAGCAGAGACTTTCCTGTGTTGTGTGTTTATAAGAGCCACTCTCCAATACCAAACGCAGATTCAGACAACTCATTACTACAATGTGAAGGAACCAAGTCCTTGTAGCCAAGTGTGAGAGCCTCTATGGAGTAGGGACAAGAGCATCTGAGGGAAAGGAGGCCAGCACTGGGGCTGGTTCCGCTTAGCACAGCGACGTACATAATGAGTGAGACTCACGCCCAAGTGTATCAGGTATGACTCTGGACCTGTGCCATGGGCAGTGACCTCTAGGGAGGGACCCAGTGCACCCACCTCGTGTGGCTCACTCTTTCACTTGTAGTGCCTTACATCAGCAATGTAAGGGTCCGGGCACAGTAGGTAAATTAGATTGGCACTCATAATGCTCCGAGGACAAGGAATTTGACAACAAGGACTCACAAGTGGGTGGATGCAGGGAGGGAAGCAAGAAAGGAAGATGGGTGGGAGGGAAAAAAAAGACAGGAGGGACAAGGCTAAGCTTTTTTTTTTTAAAAAATCAAAAGCTCCCTGATAAAGAGTTTGAAAAGAGGTCTGTGAAAAAGAAAGCTAAGATGGCAATTAGCTACAAGTGACAAGCACACATTCTACTCCCAAACTGGGCCCCAGAAACAGCATGGTGTATAGAAGAGTCGCTGATGCTGGGAACACTGTTAACTCAGCTGCTTTACACAGAAAGAGAGAGAGACAGGCAGGCACACACACACAAACACACACCGTGTTTTGGAACTGAGCCTGGTACTTCAAACAGGCTAGGTAGGAACTGTACCACTGAATCAGGCCACCAGCTCTTGATATAACTAAATAACACCCTAGGCAGAAAACCTACTGCCAAACAAACCCATGGGTTGGAAATCTAAGAGCCCTGGAGGCTGGGCATGAAGTTCCCTGGGAAGCATTTGTCTAGCATGTGTGAGGCCCTGGCTTCTATTCCCAGCTCTTCCTTTTTTTCCAGGAAAGAAGGGGGATTTAAGGGATTATCTTAAAAGCCATCGTTTATCTCCAAAGCATAAGAGTTCTTGAACAGAGGCCACATTACCTGTCAGCTTTTCTTTGGTGTGGGAATCCAATGAAGCTTAAGTTTTTCTTGTTGAAATCTAAGGAAAAGGAAATAGCACAATGTTAAAATAATTACATAGTCACTTAAGAACATTCCAAAGAGAAGACAACCTTCAAACTCCCCTGCAACTTGTAATTTAGGTAAAAAGGACATCATTAACTAAATAAAAAAACTTTTGAGAATCACACTCGACACAGAAATCACACACATAAGTCCTGGTTTGCTTTCTTCCCTTATCAAGAGGCCCCTGCACAGCTCATAGGTTAAACAAACATTCTGACATTTTTCAAAGCCATTTCAAATTTTTATGGAAAAAATAATTTGAAACAATTAAATACCAAGTAACAGTTATATACTGAGAAGGGAGGAAAGAGAAAATAATTGAGTGATTTGGGTCCAGATAAGCAGAGATAATGAGGCAATGTGCCTGGAAGATCAGAGATTCCTTTCAGAGAAGGTGGGAAGGTAGAGGGCGCTGAAGAGCAACAGGTGCTTGGCTGTGTCCTTTCTGCTTTTGTTAAAATCTCGACAACTATACATATACACGGTGTGCCGGTATGTGTGCAGAGGTCGCAGGGCAAGGTGCAGGTGACACGTCTATTGTGTGTAAGTATGCATCTGCCACAGCACACAGTGGGGGTTAGAGAACGACCTTCAGCAGCCGGCTCTCTCTTTCTACCATGTAATGTCCTTGGAAGTGAACTCAAGTCATTGCATTTGGTGACAAGTGCTGCCTACTGAGCAACCCCACTGGACAGACTCATTTGTTTTTGAAGATAGGATATATGATGTAAAGACAGCTGGTAAGAATTCCATACAGGAAAATCACACATCCAGGGTGAACATGTTAATGGAAACCAGGCAGAGACAGGATGTATATGGGGTCACAGCTAGCAAAATGCATTACAGCTTCAGGCACAGAGAACAAATTCAAGCAGACCTGAGACAGAAATTCCTTCCCCCAAGTAAGGACCTTTGTAGTTTACTATTTAGAATCAGAGCCCGAGGGGCGGGGGTAAAGGTACAAGACATAACAGATGCCAATACTTCTTTATTCTTCAAAACATATCTCAAGTCCTAAAAACTGGAAGTTAGGAACAACAGGGAGGCATAGTGAAATTAAAAGTATAAAGTCAACTAGACATTCAATTTTCATTCCAAGCACACACAAGCATCCTGTCCTAACTACACAAAAAAAGATAATTCTGATTTTAAAAAAAGGAAAGAAAGAAAAGCTAACAGATGTTATAAAAGGAAGTTGCTGAATTGTTCCAGTCTTGTCCAGCAGAGCACTTGTGCTATGAAATATTCAGGGTAGATAACGGCTGGGTTTCAGAGCAGCATTTAGATACCCACAGCATCTCCCTTTTGTTCCGGCACCACATATATAACAGCACTCCAGCAATCAGACGGGAAGCAATTATTTCTCTGGGCTGGAAAAGAAGCCACTGGAAAGATAGTATTTTCTTCAAACTGTCTCACATGAAGAGTTAAGAAAGAGAGACTCGCCCACCATTGCCTGCTGGAAGGAAACTCGCATGTAAGACTGTCGTTTCAGAAAATATTTTAGGTACAGTGCAGCATATCCATAATTTGATCCAAAGTTTGGAATTTAATTAGCAATTTTGTCATATGAAAGCTTTCATGGTTTAGCAATAGAAAAAAAAAGACATTTTCAGCAATTACAAGCGTACCTAGGGACTCCGATAGCTAAAGCATCCTTTTAGACAGCCAGCTAGATGATAAGGTGGATGCTTAGAATATTAGCTTCCACAGCAAAGACATTAGAAAATGGATACAGAAATGTATTTTCCATATTTCCCATCTTACCTTGTTTCTCGGAGAATCTGAAGGCTCCCAGGCAGCTAGAAAGCCCTGGGTTTCTGAACATGGCTGCACAGGGAACACTGGGCACCACCAGCCCAATTTGACAGCTAATTCTTAACCAGCAATGGCCTTGGGCCGCTCTAAGCAAAATTGGGTTGCAAATTTCCAGAGTGCAGGGCTAGAGTGAGCAACCAGGCACACGTGTCTTTGAGCTTACAGTGCACACAAATCAAAAGGCTGCAACAAATTAAACTCCTTCGTCAGATATGAACAGAATTAGAGCTGGAGATGCTCCAGCAGACAGGGTTCCAGAGAGGGTATTTCAGATTATGCCACAGCAAGGCCTTGGGGAATCACAGAGGAAGTTTTGCTCAAGAAGATAACGCTGAGACTATCATGCCAGTGTCGAAAAGAACTAGCCTAATACCAAATAGCCCCAAAGAAGAAAACCCCAGAGAAGGACCCAACATGTTGGGGCGCGGCGAGTTGCCTAAGTGTTCCCAGGCTGCCCAAGCTTGGCTTTGGCTGAGCTAAATAAAATATTTCACTTAACCTGGATCCAAAAATTCATACTTTAAGAGTTAAGATTTATAAGCAACATATGAGCAAAACTGTGGAGAAAGAAAAGGCAGATATTACCAGGAGAGTCAACCGTTTTAATCTCAGACAGAAGCTGTCAAGCTTTAGTGATAAGATTGCTGCCTGCGTTGTTCCATCGGCAGCCTGTAACTGAAGGGCTCAAGGCCAGATAATAAATTTGGAAGAACAATTGACAATAATTAGAGATGGACTGTTTCCTCCCTACAAAGGGACATTAAAGAAACCCACAGGAAATAGGCTCCATTACAGGGTAAGGAAACTGGACTAAGAAGGAAACCTGCTTTCAGGAGAGAACTGGTAGCTATGGAGTTATGGGATCAACAGGGAGGGGAGTCAAAGTCATTATTTATCCCAACTCTATGCAGTGGCAGGGACCCTGAGTTTGTCGGCCTTTGTATCTTTGATCCTGAACATTTGTTTGTATCTAACCGGCATATAATAGGTCTGCAGTTAATTTCTGCAGAGTGACTGCATGAAATAATGGAATAGTCTTTTCTGAAAGCTAAAACATACTTTGGGCTTTAGATTTAGATCACCAAACCAGATCATCTCAGATACAGATACAGCTGAAAATGAAGAACCGATGGATAGACAGATGGACAGATGGACTGATGGATGGATAGATGGATGGACGAGCATGTTACTCTTTGAAACAAAAGATACTCTTCACTCTCAGATATAGGAACACTTGACTGCTAGCTGGTAGCAGTGTTTAGGGAGGTTATGGGATGTTTGAGGAAGGAAGCATGGCTGGCAGGGGTGGGTCACTGGGATAGACCTGTGGGGGTTACTGTCCAAGCGCCCTGCCTCTTAGTTCCCTGAGACGTGAGGGGCCTCAGGTGTACAGTCCACAGCAATGGATCTCACTGTGCTTTCCTGCCGAGATGAACTGTATGCTCATAAGCTGAGAGCCGATCTAAATCCTTCTCCTTGCTGCTTCTGTCAGGTGTCTTACCCTATGCCAAGAGAGCTGAGACAACGTGAGACTATAGGACACCACCAGTCAGCAGCCTTTTGTGCTTCCTCTACCTGCTCAGTTACTTCTTGCTCATCCAGGAAGAATGTGGTAGATAAAATTGTTAAAAATAAAACCTAAACAAAGAAACAAAAGAACCTTGGAGGAACAGTAAGGTACTGAGGATACAGTTCCCTTTGGGGAAAACTGCCGAATATTCATCTCCTGGGCAGGGGATGGATGTCACATGACCTCTGCAGAGTGTGGGAACAAGACAGATGAAGGGAATTGGAAGAGTTACTAGAACTGTTGGCCTTGTCCGAGAACCCCTAAACAAAGCAAATGTCATGGAAGAAAAAAGAAGAAGTTCTTTATGAAACAATGGGTATAAAATGTAACCTTCTTCTAATCTGTAGGAAACCAAGTGAGATCAAATAATCCAACATTTCATGTCAACAGAAAGCGTCCGTGAGGACTGGAGGGACAGCCCATCGGGTAAGGGTACTGGCTGTGACAAAGGGCAGAGGGACAGCACAACACGGCTCACTGCTGTAGCTCACTACAGGGGCCCTTGCAATGCAAGAGACAACTGTCCTTATAGAGGTCCTCTCACAAAGGAGAATGTGGAGACCAGGAGGGAGCCTACCAGCGGCCTAACTGGTTAAAGGCCACTCCTTTTGTAACGATGCCAAGACCTGCACCTTCATGTCCTCACCTCTGTGCTTAGTGCTCGCAGGCGCTGGACCCCTGTGTCCTCCCAAAGCCTGCCAAAGCCTGCCAGGGAGGGCTTGTTATGACTCCACTGTAGATGAGAAAGCTGACATTTCCTGGGAGGACACAGAGTCTATTCACTACAGCCAGTGAGGGCATGCACAGACCAAAGAGACTTCCTCCAAGTTCACCTTGGTATATCAATGAGTTAACTGGGCTCCTGGACAGGGAACACTGAGTGAGGGGTGGGTGAGCCACAGGATGGAAGTTCCCTGGGTAACTCATGGGTTGTCTACCAAAGACTCCCGCAGTCAACTGTTCATCTATCACGTAACCCTGAGAGGAGCCTTGTGAGGGTTTTTAGAGGGAGTGTTTATAGGTATGGTCTCCGAAAAGTCTCCTGTGGGGGGTTTCACTCAAGATGGCAGTGGTCATGTCCAACCCAGAGGAAATAACTATGCAACAGATGTGTGTGTGTGTGTGTGTGTGTGTGTCCATGAATGGGCTACTTAGAAAAATCTCTTCCCTTCAATTTTACCTTTTTTAGCCCCTCCCACCCTCTGAGATGGTCTTGAGTATCTCAGGCTGACTTCAGACTCCACTCTGTAGCCCAAGGTTGAACTTGAACTCCCAAGCGAGTGCTGAGATTACAGGCAGGGAATCTCACACAGGACGTCTAGTTTATACAATTTTAGGGGTTGACCCCAGGGCTTCATGCATGCTAGGCAGGCATACTGCCAACTGACATCCATCCCTGCTCCTGTAAAATGTATTTCTAAAGGCAGAACAGCATTCTCTGGCTAGCCTGAAGACAGCAAGCGAGGGGAGCGACAGTGAGGTCAGTGACAGGTGAGAGTTCATGTGTCCTCACTCAGCCTCATTCTCAGCTGACCCCCACATGTGGAGATTTGGTGCACAGTACTTCTGTGCCAGCCTTAAGTGCC